TTAAATTGCCCTTCAATCGTTCTGCTGCATCTCTCCTTCCATATGACCCATAAGGTCACTTTCCTGATGAGTTCGAACCAGATCCTCTCTGCCTTTCGTGCCTGGTCAGGGATGTTCGTCAAGAGGAGCAGTTGGATGGGATGATTGGGGAAGGGAGACGTGAAGAGGGAGTCCCAGAGTGATGAAGCTCTCGCCCAGACCCTGACCACGTTCTGCTGACGTAAACAATATCAACMCCCCCCCCCCCCCTCCCCCCCCTCCCCCTTCTTCACCCTTCTTTCCCAACCACACCATCATGCCGGCCAGGGATTGACTACCTTGCGGCCCTCATATGAAGACCGGCTACAGGAGGAAGTGCTCGAACATCTGATGTCCTACAGTGTTACTGACAACTGCACAGTATTAGTCCCCAGAACAACCCGCTCAAATGCAGAAAGAACCAGACAGTCTGCACCAACTGCATTGCATTGCATTGAACTATCTAGTTAGCATCATACACACCCCACAAACGCACTCATGTAACAGTACTTAGGATTTGATAAAGTACTAGGACTCACCACAACAATACTGCCGTCACCGCCTAACGACAATCGCACATAGATATGGACAAGCATCATTTTTTTTTATTTTTTTTTTTTCTTCCCCTTTGAGTCGCTCCATCTATTGGTGGGGAACATCACGGAGGCAGCTTGAGGCGCTGGTAGGAGCAGACACCTCAAGCTGGTCCGGGGGAGGCTCTATCTATTGGTGGTGAGCAGCACCTGGTGGGAAACGGGCCCAGCATTCCAATTAACAGAATTTACAGAATTTACAGAATTTACAGAATTTCGGAAGAGTCATAGGAATTTGAACCATGTGTAGTGTGTGCTGTAGTGTGTGCCATGTTTCTCTGCAGGTATGTAGTACAGATGTGCCTATGTCTGTCTGGACTTGTATTAACAGCCTTAGTGTTGTTATTCTGAGTCCCAGCATTTTGGCAGTATTTGTCTAATTTGTGATCTGTGTTGTGTGTGAAGTGTATGTTTGTAGAAATATAGTATGGACAAGCATCGTACTATATTTCTACAAACATACACTTCACACACAACACAGATCACAAATTAGACAAATACTGCCAAAATGCTGGGACTCAGAATAACAACAGGCTGTTAATACAAGTCCAGACAGACATAGACACATCTGTACTACATACCTGCAGAGAAACATGGCACACACTACAGCACACACTACACATGGTTCAAATTCCTATGACTCTTCTGAAATTCTGTAAATTCTGTAAATTGGGATGCTGGGCCCGTTTTCCAGCAGGTGACGCTCCCCACCAATAGATGGAGCTGCTCCCCCGGTGCTAGTGGTGACTGCTCTTATCAGCACCACAAAAAAAAAAAAAAAAAAAAAAAAAAAGGGATGCTGGGCCCGTTTCCCAGCAGGTGCTGCTCACCACCAATAGATGGAGCCTCCCCGGACCAGCTTGAGGTGTCTGCTCCTACCAGCGCCTCAAGGATGTTTTGTGAAAAAAAAAAAAAAAAAAAAAAGCAAAAACATCAACAACTGTTTGGACGTAAAAGCAACTGGATACAAAATCTTCAGTACATGTGAGAGTGCCCCGTTGGTTGCAAGTGTCAGTTGTCTGTCGAAAGTGCCGCAGGGCACTAAGACTAACTTGGAAGAAAAAATGAAAAACACAATAAACAAAAAATGAAACTATCTATGATTCTGGCCAGATGCATTCCTGGAGGCACTGCTGTGAGAACACTTCTTTCTTGGCTTTCCCCGACGTCCTTCCTTTTTTCTTTTTTTTTTAAGGCTGCCCAACCAATTCAATTACCTGTCAAATCTGGACAGGACAGCCTTTCAGGCCTTTTTTTATTGTCATTATAGTATTACGGGGGACAGCCTTTCAGGCCTTTTTTTATTGTCATTATAGTATTACGGGGAACCCCGTAGCAGCCACATCCGTGCTCAAGCCTCCAACGAGGGAACATGCGGGAGCTGCACTCACCAGCAGGTGCTTAAGCCTCCAACGAGGGAACATGCGGGAGCTGCACTCACCAGCAGCGATAGTCACTGTGCCTCCCCTCCAGGTCCCCTATGAACATCAGCAGTCTCTGCTCAATGCCACTCTGGGGGACCAACGGCATATCTCTAGGTCGCGGGCGCCAAGCTTGCCCAGGAAGGTCCATGAGGTCAATGGGGATTGAACCCAAGACCTCCTGAATGCCACTTGCGTGCCTTACCAACTGAGCTAGGCCGCTGGATGACATCCTTCCTTTCAACTCTGCAGTTTCTTTTCTTTTCTTTTTTCTTTTTTTTTTCTTCGATCGGGCCCACAAGGCCCAAATGTTTTGTTTTTGCCAACCCTCCCCCGGACCCCCGAACTTTGCGGCTGACATCCTTTTCCCGAATGGAACTACAACTTGGAAAGGTAGTGGTGGTTTAACTGTATTTTAAATTCCTTCATAGGTGGGCTACATATTGCAATCATAAACATTCACATTGATGCAATGATATTGAATGTCAAACTGCCCTACAATTAATTTACATGATTAGATCATGCATAACAAAATACCCAACAATTCCATGTGAGATTCCGCATCCACTTGACAAATAATAATGGCCTCAAGAAACAAAATCAAATATATGCAGAAGATTCAACAAAACTCACAAGTCTGAACCCTGGGCCGGATACAAAGTTGTAGTGCTCCGTCGACAAGATGACAGTCACTGGTTTGAGGCTCAACAAGAGAGTCGACGACACCGCTCTACGCTATCCAAGAAACATGATACAGCGTTACGAGCACCAGAATGGTGTGCTTGATGTCGGTGCAGTCGTGGGGTCAACTTGTCGACGGCAATAAGAACGCTGCCCGAAGGCTGATCATACTGGAGGATTTGAGCGAAAGAATGGCTTAACCAGGCATATCGAACCATGACTAGTCATGCCTCCAAGGCTCGACACTAGTCGGCAACTCTGAGCTATCCAACCAACATGATACAACAATAAGCTTGCCATGAGGGTACGGTCGCACGCGTAAATCCCAATACCCCCCAAGCCACACCGAAGAAATTGGTCCAAAAAAAAGATTGTACATCTCTCTCTCTCTCTCTCTCTCTCTCTCTCTCTCTCTCTCTCTCTCTCTCTCTCACCCCACCCAAATGCAACAATCAGTCTCTGCAGTCTCTGTGCCTCCAGTCTGCAGAGCACTGACCGGGCTTGCGCCCATCGATCGATAGGCGGTATAAGGGTCGTGGGTGTGTCGTTCATGTGCGTCCCAAGTCCTGTCCTCTGTCTAATCTATCGTCCACCTCCATCCTCTCCATCCGTCACCCGGAAGGCCGGGACGTAATTAGAGCCACCCGCATCATCGGCGTTTGTAGTCTCGTGTGCCTGGGCGTCGGAGCTGTCATCATGGACGATAAATACACTACCGCGTTTCTTCCCTCCGGGCTCTGCCCCCTACCCGTCCACGCCCCTGTCAACCGATGAAGCTACACTAGCCTGATGCACCTGATGCACACGATCCGATATCCGCAACGTGTCGCCCGAGGCTCCTGTATGCACAACAACTTTGTCCTCAACATCGCCGCCTCCTGTTGTAATCTCTCCGTCCCCTCAACCTTCATGTGTGGAAGGTCCCAAATGACGACGCATATGTGGTGCCGATGTACCTGCTCAGGCCTTTTTCTGGGCCCGGGACATAATGGCCTTCACCACCCTCATGAAGGCGACATCCGATGTCTTAGGCCGCGCAGGTCTCCTGTGTAGGTCATTGTATGCTTTGAAGGCGTCATGAGAAGCATGGCCAACGGTCCCTATAGATCGTGCCCCCATAGGCACGTCTATTGGTCCCCATTCGCTCGTGACTCCCTGATCGTCCTCCCTTAAGCCTATGCTCCCGTGGTGGTAGAATGAAATTGTAGGAAGTACAGTGGTCGCCCAATGCCCACGACCAGAGCCGGGGTGGTCGGCATGAGGTGCTAACGTCAATGACCCCACAATGGCGCCTGTGGCCATCGCGGTCCGTCCGAGGGGGCCGTCTGCATGAGGTTTTGTCATCAAAGATCCTCATGCGAGTTGCTCTCTCTCGTCAACGGTGTCCCTACCGCCCGATAACCTTGTGGACTCCTCATGAAGATGAGCTTGTATCGTCGAGGACCCCGCCAAACACTGATGTGTCGGGTCACCTCCGTCCACATCATCGAGTCCACCACGAGACTGCTGCTCTAAATGTGGTGGCGGGCGTGGTGGGCCTCCTGATTCGTCACCAGCGATGGATTGTATAGAACGACCCTGTTGCCCGCCGTAGTTCGAAGACACAGTCTCCAATGATTCCGCTAGACTGCGCTGTGCGGAGATGCGTGGACCGCCAAGCCAATGTTGTGTGGCCATCTCGGCCTTGTCAAGGTCCACCTCGTGTGGTTTCCCCAACGAAAAACACTGGGGGTGGCGGAGACCATAGGATGTAGTCTTGTGTCATTGCCGAACTCGTCGAAACGTGTGCTGCCTCACTCCATGCCATCAGGCTGATGTAGTTGAGGTGGTTGCACAATGGATAGACAGGGAGATATCAAAGTCGAAAGGCCTGGGAGATGATCGAGGGCCGAATTCATGGACAATAACTTGCCAGTGTGCAAAAGACTGCCTGTGGGGCATGCGAGGCCAGTATGGTCGTACTCTGCGCACCTGCGGGAGTGCGTGAAACCTCTCCATCCTCCATGTCGTCCGCACACGAGGGGACAATAATATCAGCTATCAATGCAGGTGGTGAGGTATGAACCACATCTGTCCCCTCAACCTCCAAAAGGACTATAGCGATTGCCCCGTGAGCCTCCATGCGAACGACACTGCTAGGAGGGGGCGTAGACCTCCACTTGTCTTGAACAATGGGGCCTCGACTAACCTCAGCCCCAGGAAGCATCTTGGGGCTGGTCGCCACTGCATCAACTGCGGCATGAAATGATGTCGGAGTGGACACCCTCGGACTGTGGCATGCCCCCCCTCGATTGTGGACGTCACTGTCGCCTGGATAATTACGGCCTCACCCTGTGGACAAGCAACGGCAGCGTCGATATCGATCAACTACTCGTTAGTAGCATCTCTCATGGAGTCTTCGGAAACGATGACCTGCTCGCTACCCAAAGCGTATTGTTGGGTGATGGAGGAATCCCCTCCATCCCGTCTACGCACGCGAGAAGCAATGATGTCTCTCTCCTTCCCTCTACGTTTCAAGCGCTTCAAGACAACACCATGACCAGGTCGTGGAGCATCGACGTCATCGTTGTCATCGCAATCACCTCCATCAATTGGTGTCCGAGATTCGATGTCAATGGCAGTGCTGCCACCGCCGTGCGACGACCGGTGTGCACCCTCTCCATCACCATCCCTGTCATCGTGTGTGGGTGGCGAACAGTGTGCGCCCTCTACGTCATCATCTCTCGCAATCTGCGTGCTCAACGAGAAAAAATCATCACCATCACTAGACGAGCTCTCGTACAAGAAGTCACCCTTGTCCCAACGCGGACGGGCCTTGCGAACGAAGTCGTCCGTCTGTGGTCGACTGCCAAGGATCCCAACATCCAACAATTCACCCGCACTCACGGGTGGCGCACTTTGGGCGACAGGAATATCGCGCAAGCAGTGTAAAGGATCTAATGCTCCGGAAATACAACCAGCAACAGTGTCGCTCTCGGGACACGGGGTGGGTAAGGAATCTGAAACATGAATGGGGACCTCAACACCCTCTCCCGCAGGAAGTGCCCCGTCACCATCTCCAGGAAGGGAAGCAGGTTGACGAATATCAGACACTTTGCGCAAATGCTCGGACCGTTGAGCATGTTGCCGAACGATAGTGGTTGCGTCGACTGTCGATCTCGCCGGCGGCGGTGGCAACCAAGTGTAACCAGATGACTTCTGATGAGTTGTCGGAGGCACCACTGCAGAAGCACCACGTGTTGCACGTGACGCCCTGGCAGTAGTGAACATCGAGGCCAACCCGACTAATGTGCCTATCCTTTCCCCATCGGCCACCCTCAACGAAAACATGTGTTCTACCCTCGTCAAACTCCGCAGGTGGAGCCTCCTGATGTTGTGTGTCTTTTTAACGGGGAACGGGGGAATTAAACTTCTGTTGAATCCCGTTGAATTTGAAAAAATCCCGCTGAATTCCCGTTAAACGCGAAAATGGGCCGCTCCCGCGCTTTTCGAAAAAACGGAATTGATGTGTGAGGTCTGGAACACGTGGCCCTAGGCCAAAAAAACAAAAAAAAAA